GGGAAGGATACTGCAAAATCCCCATCCTCTCCCCACCCTTGGGGGAAGGATACTGCAAAATCCCCATTCCCACCCCACTCTGGGGCCAGCCAGAGGTGATATTTCCCGGTTCTCCGAACTGCTCAAAATTTCCGCTACTGGTTCTCCAGAACCTGTCAGAACCTGCTGGATTTCACCCCTGTTCTAAAGTCAGAAGAAGATTCCTGAAGGAGGGTGTAGTGTGGTGGGGAGCATCAACTCTGATTGACAGAAGTAGATCCAGCACCACGTCTCTCCCAAAAACCTATTCTCTTGTACAGAGTGAAATAAACATGGATTTGAACTTCAAGATCCTCTCAGACTTAAGATTCCTTAGCTAATTGTTGAGCAAAGTATAATAAAACTGCATTACTGGTAGTCCTCAATTTATGACCACAATTGACACAGTTGTTAAGAGAGGCATTTGTTGAGTGAGTTTTGCCCCATTTTATGAGCTTTCTTGCAGTTGTTAAGTGAATCATTGCAGTTGATAATTTAGTAACATGGTTGTTAAGTGAATCTGGCTTCCCCATTAATTTTGCTTGGCAAAAGGTGATCACATGACCTTGGGACACAGCAATCGTCATAAGTATGAACCAATTGCGAAGCATCTGAATTTTGATTACATGATCATAAGAATGCTACAAAGGCTGTAAGTGTGAAAAAATGGTCATAGCTGCCCTGAGTCTCTGGAGAAAGGCGGCATATAAATTGAACTAATAATAAAAAGTCTCTTTTTTTCAGTGCTGTTGTAACTTTGAAGGGTCACTAAATGAACTGTTCTAACTCGAGGACTACCTGTATTCCACTTGCTTAATGGATGTGCTTAATTTGTCATCTGCCCTCTTAAAATCATTCCATGTTCCACATTGTCTCCTGTTTGGGTGGGGGTTGGACTAGATGACTTACAAGCAGGGGTGGGATTCAGCCTGTTCGTACCAGTTCAGGAGAACCAGATGTTAATTTTAATCTGGTTCGCCGAACCGGTAGTTGCAAGGACTGTGTTGTGGCTCCGTTACCTGAGCCTGTGTCATCGGCAGGAGAGGACTCCGAGAGTGAAGGAGAGGAGTTGGCAAGGCCTCCCTCTCCAGGACCCTCCTCTCTGGCAATGCCTTCGGTGTCCGCCAAAGGGCAAGAGATAGGGCCAGGGCCAAGCACGTCCACGCAGCCACAGATGGACATGATGAGGGTAATGAGTCTTGGCTGGATCCTCGGCAGCGTTGCAGAGATAAGCGCGCACAACAGAAGAAAAGGCGTGCCAGAGATTAGGCTGAGTCACTGGACCACACCCCACAGGGTATAAAAGGGGGTGAGGTGGCCATTCAGACTCTGTGACGGACAAAACTAACTACTATCGAGTCACATTGCATCTGTGGAAACAACATTATCGGCCTTGGATTTATTTTACGAAATGGACAATTCTTGACTGTGTGTATTTTGTTTATTGAGTTACTGGGTTGCTGCCAAGCATCTTATCGGAAGAATTGGTTGTCTGCCAGTTTATTTAACCCCCGGCTGTCTGTTTGTGTGTGTGTGTGAGACGGGGACAGAACAGACTGGCTGATCTCTGGAGGGCCTCCGGAGCCCAGGGCAGGCTGTTTTCGCCCTCCCGGAGGCTGGAGAAAAGTTTCCAGAGCCTGGGTTCCTGCACCACGCACCTCCCCTGCCGTGGTGCAGGAAGCTGACTAGGCCACGGCCCCATGGCCACGCCCACCCAGCAACCGGGCAGAGAACTGATTGCTAAAATTTTTCAATCCCGGCCCTGCCTACAATGTCCCTTCCAACTCTGTTCTGTTATTCCATCCACAGAAGAATAATTAGAACAGTTGCAAAAATAGGATTGCTGTATTTCCCAGTTAAAGCAGCAGATGTCACCAAAACCATTCTTTGTGGGCATGGATGTGAAGTACACAATCCTGGTAAAGAGCAACATTAAACCTGTCACCTGTCAATTTCTTGAGCTTGGCAAAAGGTACTGCTCTCTAGGAAATATAGCGCCCTTGCAACAAATAGCAATTTGATTGGCTCCAGCATCACTAGCATCGTAAGTCTTCAGTAGCAAGCAATTCATCCTGCCCTGTTGCTCATTCATTGCAATTCCAAGCCTGAGGCACTTGAACTTGCTGAATTTGTGTCTGTAATCTGTTTAAAGATAAAGTCAGCCCTATGTGGAACTCATTGCAATAGTCTATCCAGATGATAATGAGGGAATAAGGTGCCAAATTCCCTTGCACTAGATAAGACAGCAACTGGCACAGTAGAAGAAGCTGGACGAAGGTCCTTCTAGCCACAGCTTCTGTTTAAGACTCACTCTTTTACAGTTAGTGCTTGCTGTCCAGCGATAATTCTGATATCAATACAGATTCCCCAATGAACAAATAACAACTCCTTATCTGGGTCAGAGTCAGCCTGTTCCGTCCCATCCAGACATGTCTATGGATATGCTCACCAGCTGTCTGCATCAAATAGAAGGTCTTTTTTCCACCAAAGTAACCCATTTGATGCTCCCTGCCATATCTCCCTCAACCTAATTATCCCTGTGCATCTCCTGCCAAGGTGGACAAGTACTCCATCAGCAAGGAGCCTTCATATCCCAGCTAGTCCAATAACCCAGGCCTGCTGTTTGAATACTGCTTAGCTGGACTTCACACCCAACAACATATAGACTTGCTCATATACACATACACTTGCTATAATATATTAATTGATTGATTGATTGATTTTTCACATTTTTGAATCACCTATCTCCCTTAGACAGCAGCCCTGGGTGGTGCATGATTAAATGTTAAAATATAAAAGTATAGCAGAAAAAATAGCAGAAATTTAAAAGGAGAATGCTTAAACACTGTTAAAATTGGTTAAAAGCGAAGGAAGGTCTCTCCAGGACCAGCCAGTCCCACAGCTGGGTACTGCTCTCAGCTCCCCACATCAGGCTGCAGAGCCACATTTTCACTCCTTTCCAGAAGGTCAGGAGAATGGGGGCCTCTTTCATCTTGGGGAGGGGCAAAACATTTCACAAGGCGGAGATGGCAGAGAAGTTTCTCTTGCTAGGACCTGCCAGTTGAGGTTTTAACTGACAGGGTCTGCAAGATACCTTCCCTGCCTGACAGGGTGGGACGAGCTGATGTAATAGCAATAGCACTTAGACTTATATATCTCTTCATAATGCTTTACAGCCTTCTCTAAACGGTTTACAGTGTCAGCATATTGCCCCCAACAATCTGGGTCCTCATTTTACTGACCTTGGAAGGATGGAAGGCTGAGTCAACCTTGAGCCGGTGAGAATGGAACTGTCGAACTGCAGTCAGCCAGCAGTCAGCAGAAATAGCCTGCAGTACTGCATTCTAACCAGAGGTGGGTTTCAGCAGGTTCTGACCAGTTCTGGAGAACCAGTAGTGGAAATTTTGAGTAGTTCAGAGAACCAGTAATAAAAATTCTGACTGGCACTGCCCCCATCTATTCTCTGCCTCCCAAGTCCCAGCTGATCGGGAGGAAATGGGGATTTTGCAGTAACCTTCCTCTGGAGTGGGGAGGGAATGGAGATTTTACAGTATCTTTCCACTGCCGTGCCCACCAAGCCACGCCTGCCATGCTACACCCACCAAGCCACACTCACAGAACCAGTAGTAAAAATTTTTGAAACCCACCACTGATTCTAACAATTGTGCCATGACGGCTCATAATGGAACAAAGATGGCCCCACAGGTAGCCTGGTCCCATTAATACTGGAATTAAATACTGAAATTAAAACTGGAAGCTCTCTACCTCCAAGACACCCTCCCATTGGCATCTGGACAGCTGGGCTTCAACAACAGGCTACTCTCACCATAGATGAGATGGGGCCTCTTGTCTCCTGTCTCGCCTTCTACCCCAGCAGATCCAAACAATTCCATGGCAGGAAAATTTATGAGAAAAGCAGTCCCAGGAAGGTATTATTAAGTATTGCTCCACCTCCCACTGTAAGTGGAAGGTAATAAACTGGCTTGCTACTACTTGTGTGCATTGTTAGATTAAAAACTAGTTCTAAGTTCTAGCTGATGACCGTGAATGAAGTCCTTCAAGTCCTTCTCAGATATGTTTTCCCCCCTAAAAATACTCCATACTTTCGTAGACCTTTCTTGTCATTTGAAGCAGGCATTGAGAAACCAATAGCCACAATTGTAGAGATGGAAAGCAGCATTACATGTGAGTAAGTTTCTGTGTATGGGTGAGTATGAGAAGGAAAGGTGGAGTATATTGGGGTATGAGTCAGGATGGCAGAGGCAGGAAAGGTGGGGTCTGTAAGGGTGTATCCCAAAATTTATGGAAAGGGTCATAATTAAGTTAGAAATCACAAAAAAATATGTTCATAGGACATGCTTGCCCATTGCTTACTGAACTATGGTTTACTAATTTAACCCAGTTGTCTCAGTTGACATATATTTAGTTTATACTATAAACTAAACAATTATATTTTAGCCTAGTGTAGGAGGTATCCATCTCAGAAAGAAAAGGATAGACACCACATCATGGATATGCTTTGGAAATGCATGGCTGGGGATGTTGGGTCATCAGGATGAGCAAGTCTGAAAGTTTTGGAGCCTTTTCTATAGGCTTAACATAACTATTTTGTCTTTTAATTCTCCTTCTTCCCCCAACTATGATTTGAAATATCGCCTTACTTCTTTTTCCACTTGCATCTAGGAAATGTTCCTTCTGTGAAATGATACACAGAATTGATCTTTCAGTGCTGGGGGTTTGGGAACTCACTTTCTTATAAACAATTACAGTAAATGTCACCATAGAAATCTAGTCTGTTTTGGAAGACAAAGCATCTACTTCCTTGGAATGGACATTTTGAAAGAAAGCAAAAGCTCTGTGATGAGTGAAAATAGTAGGTGAAATTGTTTTCCGCTTTCCCACACTCAACATAATGTGAGAAATGCATTTTACTTTTCAAACTTAGTAACCAAAATGTCACATAACAAAACTCTCTATTGATGTTTGGGGGCTTATGAAGATTTATTTTGGACATCCGTCTTCAAGATTGTTGTCTCAGAGTTTTGCGGTTTCTATGGTGTTTACTACGTGATCTCCTTGAGGTCTTGCCTAGGTTTCCCTCAGGCACTATGTCCTCTGCATGTGGTGGTTTGGCCCATTTCCAGATACAGCAAACATACCAATATTGTGAACATGTCATCCAGGGACAGAAGATGAGTCATATGCTTACCTTGGACAGAAAGGGAAAGATCAGTGAACATCTGTTTTCTAACATTGGCCTATCCATAACTTCCAGACTTAGAGACAGCTTACCTTATGAAGTGCTGGAAGAATGATGGAAAATGAAGGAAAATATTGGGTTTCTATCAAAAAGAAGGTGCTGGAAAAACAAGATGGCAACTTTAGGGTCTCTCTCTCTCTCCCTCTCTCTCCCTCCCTCCCTCCCTCCCTCCCTCTCTCTCTCTCTCTCTCCCTCCCTCCCTCCCTCCCTCTGGATTCCACTTGTAAAATACCCATTGTCAGAACAAAAATCTTGATCGTCAAGTTCAAATAACAGTTGAAGCCTTTTATGTAGCTCTATGGGTATTGGATCACACAGCCATTCAGTTACTTGGGGGTCTTCCAGGAACTCATTTGGTATTGTCCCATTTATTGCTTTAAGCATATTACATTTAGAAGCTTTTATGGAATTATTGTGTAGAATAATTTTACTATTATTACACATTGCTTGCAATTGTTTACCACCTTGGGATTTGTTTTCTAATTCTGAAACGTTTGTTAATAAATAAAATAAATTTTGTCTGGAGAAAAATCCCCAAAAGCTCTCAGGAATACATCCAAAGCCGTCAGCCACTGAGGGCAGTGTCCCTACCTGGCTGAACATCTGATTTCTTTGTTAGATTTTTATCTGGCTTTCTCTTAGAAGCTCAAGATGTGTACGAGCCATGTGAATAAACCCCACTGATCACAAGATGTTCAAAATTTCCACCATGTCCTGCCCAATTTGCATAAGCAAAAGATCACAAAGCAGATTGAGGTGTGTCATGTTCAGAGGCATATATAAGGAGGCCAAAAGAGGACAAATAATGAAAGCAGCACTGTGATAGTGGAACACTATTTTCATCATTTTGAAAATTAAGAAAATTAAGAACCTGCTGATTCCTCTGGACACGTGACATAAGTTAGTCCTAGAATGCCATCACAATACCCATGTTGGCCATGAAGCTTTGAGTCCCTACAAACACATAAACCTTGGCAAGGATATCAATATCTCCTGAGACCAGTGGTGGGATTCAAATAATTTAACAACCGGTTCTCTGCCCTAATGACTGGTTGTGTGGGCATGGCCATTGTGGGTGTGGCCAGGGTGTGTGACAGGCAGCACTCAGCCTCCAGTACCCCCCTGGGAGGAAAAACGGGCTGTGGGAGGGGACACGCATCCCCAAGTGTCCCGTTTTTGGCCTAGGAGGCCTCCCTGAAGCCTCCTGGGAGCCAAAAGGGGACACGTGGAGATTCCTGGGAAGGGAGGGGCCAGCCAGCAATTTAACTACCAGGACACCTGAACTGGTCCCGAAACGGCTGAATCCCACCACTGCCTGAGCCTAAATCTGCACCATGTCTGAGAGGAACCTCTGAAAGTTCTGCTATTTGTGCAACAGTAGCAGTGACTGTAATTCATCTCAGAATTATAACAAAACAATGCATATGAAACACTTAGACTCTATGCATTTAGTGTTAGTTTGGGGCCTGCAAATTACATTTGAAGATGCTTTTGGACAGAATCACCAGCAACTAAAAATCACAATTGGAATTTGAGTCAGATCTGCCCAATTATTCCTCCCTTCTCAATATGTTCTCAATTGTTTGACCTTTAGATAGAGGTTCACTTTAAGTTATTTTGGAAGCAGATTTTGTTGGAAAAGACAGATTTAATAGGATGAAATAAACATTAAATTGGAAGCTTATACCACATGTTTAGAATACAGGAAATTCAAGTCAGAAAGTTTAGGACACCATGTGAGGGCTGGAGCTTGCTTGGTGGGAATTAAGAATCAATATGTTAACATGAAATAAAGGTTGGCCTTTAAGGCTGAGAAGCAAATGGCTAAGCATCTGTTGACTCAAAACAAGTTAATCTTCTGTGATTATATGACCTCTCTGCAGCCAACATAAAAGCTACTTATGCTAGCATGTCCCTTTAGCTTCTGAATGGGGGTGGGGTGGGGGGTTTGAGTTGCTGAAGACAGGAGATTTATTGCTGGGCCTGAGACATTCTAATTTCAGGGCAGTATGTAATAAATTTGAAGGTTTCATGTTTATGACGCAAGAGTTCAAATGTTTGGCACCATCACTCATCACGAATCTTCTTCCTGCAAACTTCCCAACACATTTATATGTTATGGATGTAGCTGATAGCAGTATGGGAAGGAAGCATTGGTTCAATATGACTGCACAGAGTCACACAGGTCTAAAAATAGGATAACTAACTAACTAATTAATCAGCTAGCTGGCTAACTAACTTACTAAATAAAATATACTTTAATACAGTATTCTGCTTGCATTTTTAAACATAATACTGATGTTGTATGATGGAAAGAGCTTACTTCCCTGCTCACCAGTGCTACACCTGCTAAGTCAAGCTGATAGCAAAATCTTACCACTATACTTAGGAACTGTTGGATGTCTTTACACTGAAAGCAATTGTCTATCTCAATTCTTGAAACTTAAAATAAAATTTGAAATAGCAGCTTTCATTTAAGTGATTCTGGAAAATATGCCCATGTCATGTTAGGAAGCATCTGAAGCACTCTATAATTAAAGTGTTGCAATGTGATCCTTTCTGAAATCTTTTTAAACTTCTTTCTCACGCCCTTAAACATTTTTAAAATAAGAGACATGTTTTGTGAAAAAGGGCATATCATGTAACTGCTAAGACTGCTTCATTCTGTGAAGAATTTTGGATCTTATAGTTAATTCGTTAAATGGTTATGGCCATGTTTTATTTCCCATTATTTGTGTGCTTCTTTTTATAGGAGGTAACGAGGCAGTTGCTCCCCTCTTAGGGAAAATGGGCACTTGTCCTGAGAAAATGTTTCCGTGTTCTCTGTCCCTTTTTACTAATATGGGAAGCACTGCAAAGATTCTGTCAAAGGTCATATGTCGTCTCTAAATGTATGGCCCCCAGCAGTAAAAAGCAACAACCATGGATGTTAAGAAATAGGTGCGTTGGTGAGTTGGGTAAACTATTCACTTCTCCAAACAATATAAATTGATCATACTTCTAAAATAGTTTTGATCTGAAAACCGACAAAAGGTGAAAACTATGGAAGTAAAACATGATACTCAACCTTAGAAACACAGTTGTTTCTACAGCTCTAGAGTTGTAAAGTCTGAAACTATTTTGAAGTAAAAAGTTCACTTAAAATGAGAAGGGGAACGTGCTGAAGTGCTTCAGTTGTTCTTCTCCATTTCTCAACTGAGATGCACTTCCACCCTTGTTTGCCAAAAACGTTGCTGTCATGCAATTTATTTGCTTTCATTGATGATCCCTAATCTGTCTCTATAAAAGTTAGTTCTGAGTCACCACCGAATGATGCCGTCCTGATTAAGTATGTACAGTACCGATTTGGCAAAGCTGTTGGTCATGTTCTCCAGCTTTGTTTCTTGTCCTCTTTAATATGTCAACATTTGCCAATCATGGTGTTGCAGCAGGATCAGGGAGTGTCTGACCCAAGGACTCCGGTGGCCTCTTTAGACTACTTTGCTGGCCTAAACCTTTATCTCCATTCTGTTCTAGCACGAGTTTAATAGAGTGTTTTGAAAAACCAGATGGGACTCATAAAGGGAACTGAGTCTCTTGTGACCTTTCCCAAGAGCAGTGTTTGGTCCCATCATTTCACTGTTCATTATTGCAGCAAAACTGGAAACAGCAATAGAAAAAAGTATTCCCTACAATACCAGCTGGGCTACAGCAAAAAAAAATCCACTCAACAGGCCCTGTGCCTACCCCCAAAATAGGTTCCCCAAAATAATACGAAGTCACCTTTCAGTCCAATCTTACCACTGGTGCTAGCAAGCAACATCCATGTACATGTAGTCCTCGAGTTAGAACAGTTCATTTAGTGACCGTTCAAAGTTACAACAGCACTGAAAAAAGTGACTTACGACCGTTTTTCACGCTTACAACCATTGCAGCATCCCCACGGTCAGATGATCAAAATTCAGACAGTAGGCAACCGATTCATATTTATGACGGTTGCAATGTCCCAGGGTCACGGGATCCCCTTTTGCGACCTTATGAGAAGCAAAGACAATGGAGAAGCTAGATTCACTTAGCAACCGTGTTATTAATTTAACAACTGCTGGGATTCACTTAACAAATGTGGCAAGAAAAGTCATAAAATGGGGCAAAACTCACCTAACAAATTTCTCACGTAACAAGATAAATGTTGGGTTCAGTTGAGGTCGTAAGTCAAGGGCTACCTGCAGGTTTCTTTATAATAGCATGAACATGAAATAGGCTTTGGGAGCTTGGGGAGGGGGGGGGGCTAAGAATAGAACAGGAGCAGAAGAAGCTGACTTGAGAATGAGAAGGAGGGGAACATATCCAGATCACCTTGATATGTACAATAGGTGCTCTCTGATCATTTCCATTACTGATCCCTTGGCCTTCTTTTGCCACCAGTGGTAATGAACAGTAACAGATTTTATAGATTTTTGAGACTATTGCTCAATGGTGTTAAAATGCAGGGGCGGGCAGGGGGACTGTCAGGGTTCCAAGTAACACCCCCAATGAAAGAAGACTCTGAGGCTTGAAGTTCCTCAAAGTTCCATTTTTATAGAAATGTCATATTGGCACATCTAGGAAAACCTGAATCTGAAAGCTTCCAGGTTTTCCCCACCCAAAAGAAAGTCCAAGCCCCTGCCCAGCACCCATATGTCCATCATATGGTCCAATCAAAATACCGTCCCAATTGGAGATGCCTCCCAGTTCCAACCCTCCAGGTGCAGGGCAAGATGTCCTTGACTCTCTGAAAAAGGAATGTTATTATAACTATATATCACCCATGCTCCATACAATCACCCCTCCCAGTTTCCCACAGTAGTAAATGTGGCAGGCCTGAAGGTCCAATACAAAAGATGGCTTCCAGGCCTGACAGGGACTATTTTAACACCAATAATGCTAAGGGTTATTTTTGCCCATCTCCTGAAGTAGAGATGAAATGAAGGAAACATCATGAGGACAGAGGAGGAAATTGCTAATATCGAAGAACGTTTGTACTTGAGTAAACTGCAAGTGAGAACACAGCCTCAATAGTAGCAGAGAACAATATTCCTGTGAAATAGGAATGATAAACAGTGGGATTCTCTGAGAAGAGAGCACAATGATACGTGGGTGTCCTTCTTTCTAAAATATCAGCTCAGGAGCAATTGTCGGTTATTTTCCTCTCCTGAATATTTCCTCACATTTGATAAAAACCGAAGAAACTTTTTTTTTTTTAAATTTGATTTATATGCCGCCCTTCTCCGGAGACTCAGGGCGGCTTACAATGCATTAAGCAATAGCCTTCATACTTTTGTATATTTATACAAAGTCAGCTTATTGTCCCCACAAACTGGGTCCTCATTTAACCTACCTTAGAAAGGATGGAAGGCTGAGTCAACCTTGAGCCTGGTGAGATTTGAACTTACAGTAATTGCAGACAGCTGGTGTTAATCACAATGCTTTTAGTCTGCTGAGCTACCAGCACTTTGACTTGATGTTGCATATACGTAGAGCAAATATTGCCCCTTCTCATTTTTACTTCACAATATTGTTTAAGTGAACTTCAAATAAAGAACTTTGTCTAAAAACAGCCACTGTACTATTCTGCAAGTTGGGGAAAGCAGTTTATATTCTCTAAAACTTTTCCACTACAGTTCCAACAATTCCTTATTTTTCTCATGCTTCTCCTTGCATAAGAATCTCCACAGATTTAGTCTTAACTGTTCCTTTGTAATACTCCAGCAAAAGGAGAACCATCTGGTGCTCAACAGATATTCAGAATTATAGTTCCCACAATTACCATTGGCTGAAAATGCTGGCTAGGGTTTGTGGAATGTGTACTACAAAATATTTTCAGAGCACTAATGTGGCTACCATTATTTTACCATAGTGCAGGATGGAAAACAGCTTTTCCATTCCTTCTGGATCCAATCATCTGTGCAGTTGGCCAAAATCAGCCTATCAACCTATTTCCTCTATCACATATTTTTAAAGATGTAGCAATTTAAAAAAATCACTAAGGTAAGATTAGGCTTCATACAATTCTGGATGTGACAGTTTCCATGGTAAATGCAGGTGTTTCCCACCATTTCAATTCATGGATTACTTCATTGCGGGGAAGAATCTTCCAAAACAGTCTTGCATATTTCACTGAGAGCAATAGTTTACGGCTATTGAATGACACCTGAAGAAATTCCTTAGTATTGGTAAATCAGTCCATTTTTCTGTCTAATTGCAACTGAGAACAGTATGTATCAGCTGATTTTTTTTTAAAAAAATCTTTAAATCATTTGGAAAATCCATTTTTGTAGCAATGTGAGTATTTTTGGTGGAGATATCAAAAACTGGATTTTAGGTGGTTGTTGTTCAAATCACCAGGAAATACATAAACTATATTACAGATGGGGAAATTAATTCACACCTGTTAACACACAAATATATTTCCCTCCTGAAGAATGAAGCAGCCCCTCTCTCCTCCCTGGGCTCCTTTCCACTTTCTATCCTTCACTGAAGAAAGTTATACACATCTTTGGACCCATTAATTCCTGTGTATGAAAAATAAATAAATAAAAAGACATGGGAATCTTTTGAACCTATAGGAATAATTCCCTCACTCATTTTGAAGTTGAACTGCAAACGCTCAAGAGTAAATAATGGGGATTAAACAATAGAGATTGTTTGGCCAACGGCTCAGTTTCGCTGAGTTGACAGTCAAAAGCATGGGAGAAGTTTGAGTTTCAGGAAAACTCATATTTCATCCAGTGTAGCTACAGAAAATCAAGCATATATTGTTAGATTGCTATTCTGGGCAGCCAGTTATGTCCCCAACTTTAAAATGGGAGAAATCAGTCTGATTAAATTAAATTAAAATGGTTAATGCTTATCTATGGAATCTCTTCTCTCTTCATGGTAGAGAAATCCTCTTGAATGTATTCAATTGGAGTATTCAACATTTCGTATTAATACTCTATTTATAAGCATCACATTGCTGTTCTATTCTTCATTTTTTTAAACCTGAGAGCCACTGTTAAATACCAGGATAGACACATAGGACAAATACAAACTCATTGCAATCATAAGTTGTGCATTGTAATGTGCAAAATTGTTTCATGCAGCATGTGAACAGTTATCACAAATCAGAAGCTTGCAGTCATGTATATTACTGTGGAAGCCAGGCTGGGAGATGATATGTGGGTCACATGGCTACCATTAAAACTGAATATATGCATTTGTTCCCAACACTCTTATCATAACTAACAGCTCTGCACTTCAAGAAGATCTTCCTTATTCAAGTATGCTAAAGCCTAGACTAATAGATTCACCCATGGCTGTAATTCTAAGCAGGAAATAAATATTGCTCTCAGCAGCAATACTGGAGACTGGTTTGAGAATTGTAGAAGTGCAAGGGCCTTTGAAGTTAACATTGCGTTTTCAATGCAAATAATCCAGAGCTCACCTCCCCACTCCTCATTTAAGGCTGTCCAGTGTCTCTGCTTAAAGACCTACACTATTTCTATAGAGAATATAGCTCCATGATATCCCTGATATACAGTGAGATTTTTTTTATATCAGCGTCCCTTTGTTCCCTTTAATCTTTTCAGAAATACCCAGTCGCTTTAATTTAGAAGGCCATGACAAGAACAATTGGACTGATGGTCTTCATCTGTGTCGGATCCAAGTATCCATTGTATTATGACAGCAACAGCAGTAGTATTAGTGTCAATAGTAAAAACACCCTTGAGTCAAACTTCACTCATGGCAACTACACTCCATGTCATCTTCTTGCCAATAGCAGTTTGCCATTGTGTTCTTTGTCATCATCAACAACAACATAGTTGTCCTCATTCTGACAGCAGCCTGTAAGATGAACAAAAACGGGTAAGATAGCAAAACCTCAAAGAGTTAAGCATCATTGGGATAAAGCACAAGGCACTCTGTGTGTCAAGTCCCAATCCTGCTCTATTATGAGCCCATTTCAACAGGGTTATTTGTATAGTATGTATGTGTGTGAGAGAGAAATACAAATGGGGGAGGATCAGCATTTCCTCCCTTCAGAATATAGCTCACCAGGAGTATGGCAACTGAAATACCAGTAACTCACTCACTGTAAGTAACTCACTCACTGTTTTCAATGGTAAGTGGCAATGGTGGGCCATTTTTCAACTAAAGCCAGTATTCTATGTATGAAGCTAATATTTATTTACTAGTTCTAGAGTACCATTCAATGCCTGTTTGGGTAGAGGGCAGACCCACCGCTTTCATGGGTAAATGTGCATAGCCATTCATATTGTAAATCTGTCAACAGCACCAGGACGAGATAACAATAGCTGACCAGAGTGTTAAAGTTAGTTACAAACAAGAGTTCCATAGGCTGTTTACTAGCCCATCCCCAGTTGGTGGCTTTGAGATATGCCGATTATGACTCCTAGCAGCTGTCTGAGGATGATGAGAGTTAGTCCTTTGTGCCTCCAAGACCACCATAGGTGGAGGAAAGCTTCAGAGTGACAAAGGACTTAATACACATCGTAGTGTGCATATGATACTATAAAAGGTACAGCAGACTAATGCCTAAGAACAGAATTTAAATCCACCTGCGAGGAGTTTCTGATGATCTAAGAGAGAAAAATTGTTCGGGTAAAAATGTTGGGACATAAATGATGAATGGGTCAGGACAACAGCAGAGGGAAGAGGTGGGGCCGTGCAAATAGCGTGACAGGTTAAGTTCTAAGTAAGCCTGCAGATTGCTACTCAAACTGCAGTTTGTGCCCCTCTGTGGAAAGGGGCTTCACCCGACTGGTTGGCAACTCAAGCAACAAAATCTATTTTTAAGAAAGATTAGAAGTGGATTGATCTCAGACTGAAGTCTGACTGGAAGCAGATTAGTTGAAACCAAAGAAAAGGACCATTTGTTTTGTGAGAATTTAACTGAAATGATCCAGTTTGTGTAAGAGCTTAAAAAGCAGAGATACAAGTACATAGCCTTTTAGTTTGGCTGAAACTATAAATACATGGACGGACAGCTCAGGAAGATAAGTAGATGATTTGCAGGAGAAGGATGAACTGAAAGTAAGTATTTTTTTTCTTCCTTTCATCTGTCTTCTTGGGTGGTTTAATTTAGCTGTTTTTGTTTCCAGCACATCACCCTGCAAGAGCTAATGTATTGTTCTGAGAGTTCTGTCTGCTTTTTAAAGAGCTTCTCATAGACCCACTAGCAGCCCTCTCCAGCCTGGTGTCTTCCAGATGTTTTGCATGCATCAGCTTTGATCATTGGTCATGTTGGCTGTCAATGTTAGGAGCTGTAGTCCAAGCCACACATATGGAATGGGAAAGATTGCTCCCAACTTGCTGCTATGCGTCATTGCTGCTGGCTGAAAGAGAAGGGGAGGAATGAAAATTATAGTTGGAAAGGGGAGGAAGATCTAGTGAAACTTATTTCTCCTGTCTCAGTTTGTTTGAAGATTAGCAGGGTCTTGCTGTCACTGATAAATTGTAGTAACTGGTGAAAAAAAGGAATACCTTGAATAAAGATGTGTCTGTATTCTGATTATTGTAGATCAAAGTTGAAAAGATGGTCTTGGCCAGTCCTTGGGTCCTAAGCAGTGGTGGAATTCAATTTTTTTTACTACTGGTTCTGTGGGAGTGGCTTGGTGGGTGTGGCAGGAGAAGGATACTGCAAAACCTCCATTCCCACTCCACTCCTAGGGAAGGATATTGAAAAATCTCCATCCCCTTCCCACTCCTGGGGAAAGGATATTGCAAAATCTCCATTCTCACCCCACTCCAGGGGAAGGATACTGCAAAATCCCCATTCCCTCCCCACTCCTGGGGGAAGGATACTTCAAAATCCCCATTCCCTCCCCACTCCTGGGGGAAGGATATTGCAAAATCTCCATTCGCACCCCACTCTGGGGCCAGCCAGAGGTGGTATTTGCCGGTTCTCCAAACTACTCAAAATTTCCGCTACCACAACCTGTCAGAACCTGCTGAATTTCACCCCTGGTCCTAACAACTGGCCATTCTTTGCCGTTGATTCAGATTGTCTAATTAATGGTGGATGTGAAATAGATGAAGCAAGATGAAATAGGGCAAGAAAGGGATAAATAGGACAGACCCAAAAAAAGATATGATAAATACAAGTGGTTCTCGACTTATGATCACAATTGGGACCAGAATTTCTGTTGCTAAGTGAGTTACATGATTTTACAATCTTGATGAACATGGTTCTTAAGCAAATCACTGCAATTGTTAAGTGAATCACATGGTCGTTAAGTGAATCCCCATCCTCTCCTTCCTCCCCCTCCTCCCATTGACTTTGCTTATTGGAAGCTGACTCAGAAAGTCACAAATGGCCATCACCCAGCCCTGGGATACTACAACCTTTGTAGATACATGCTGGTTGCTAAGCACCTGAATTCTGACCATGTGACTGTAGGGATGCTGAAAGGTTGTAAGTGTGAGGACTGGTCATTAAATCACATTGATCTCCAAATCCCTTGCAAGACTTCTTCCCATGACTTCTTGCATTTGGGAAAAAGCAGGGGATACAACTGGCTAATTTCCACGAGCAAAGAATTTTTTAGCTCAGTTTTGGACTCTTGCTTTTCAAATAGTTTCACACAACTCTAGTAGTAGTGGGTTCCACTTGCCTTTGCTACCGGTTCGGAACTGTGAGTGTGTGTGTGTGCGCGCGCGCTCACTTTGCTTGCGTGCGGCGCTTCTACGCATGCACAGAGCATTCCTGATGATGTCCGGGCGGGTGGGCGGAGCCTCCCTCTGCTGCCACTACCGGTTCACCCGAACTGGGGCGAACCAGTAGAAATGCACCACTGAATTCTAGCCTTACTATACACAGCTTTAGACTCAGGGCCCGTTTCCTGATTTGGCCTACCATGAAGGCTGACAATTTCAAAGCAAAACAACTTAAAACAAGGGGCATAAGGCTGTCCAGATTCATTCATCAGAGTTTGTTTTGCAGGACAATCTTTGGTTCATACGAAACAACAAACTAATATCATATCAGCATGAAATTAAACACTGCTGTCTGGGAGGTGGAGAAGACAAGAGGCCACATGATTTGAAAGTCTGCCTGGGCATAAGGGTGGGTTCTACTTATCTTTACTAATGGTTTGCAGCAGGGCTGTGTGTGTGCTCTTCTGCGCAAGCGCAGAAATGTTTTGATGACATCGGGGTCAGTGGGCGGAGCCTCCTGCCAGTTTTACTACCGGTTCTATAGAACCGGTGCAAACCAGGGGCAACCCACCACTGCTGGGCATGCACTAGCTTTTCCATGCCGTGATGTGCAGTCTGGTTGGAAAAAAAAATAGCTGAAATTATTCTTATGGTGATGGGGTTTTTTTTTTTTTTTTAAAAGAGAGAATTATGATAGTTTCAACTTCTGAAAAAGGCCTAGAAAAGAAAACTTGCAGATTGGTTAATCGCATTGATTTCTGGAATGTTGATGTTTTTTTGTTTTAAAAAATGTTCTGTGGA